ACTCGCCTTGAGCTGAAGAGCTGAGGGACAGCGCCCAGGCCCAGAGTTCAAGCCCCATGACCAAAAAAAAAAAAAGTCACCCTTGGAAATGGAGATGTGACTCAAGTGGTAGAGCACCAGCTGTGAGCACAAAAAATCAGAGATAGTGCCCAAGCCCTGAGTTCAAGCCCCAAGACAGGCAAATAAACAGTTTGGGGTTGGAGGCATGGCTCAGTTGGAAGAACACTAGCCAATAAATGAAAGCAGCAGGTACTGAGTTGGAGTCCCAGTTTCAGACCTAAAATAGCATGAACATCTAGCCATTTGAACTACCTAATGTATATATCTACATTTTTTGTTAAATCCTCTAAGAGGCTTCTTATTTTACTGAAAATAGTGCATACCTATCTTTTGCTATTCCCTCATAGTGCTTGACATTTTATACTTATGTTTTCCCAAATACTTCAGTAATGAGCTCAAAGCTCCATAATGAAGAAGTATTTCATTCTCTAATATCTCTGCGTCCTAGGCACTAAGACAGGATAAGGAAATTATGAATAAATATATTTGCTCTGTTTAATATAAAATCACAAAGGTGAGTTTATTTAAATAAGCCAACCCAGTTGTTTCTAGAGCTAACCCAAGTGATCAGGCCATAACAAATTTTTGAGAACACCGACCCTAATATAACAGATAATTGTAGTAGAATTCAATAAATCAGTTTGAGAACAGCTAATTTACCATGAAGATTACTGTGTCTACCTATATTATCTAGTTATCAACCATCCTACCACCTCAGCATAGAATTGTAGTTGCAAAGTGAAAACCCATGTTATTCAGTAATTGCATTTTAAGTTTTATTACATAATAGTCACATCCTGATAGTCACCCTAGATTCTTATTCCATAGAAAGATGATTAACTGAAAGCTTAAGTGGCAATAAAAGATTAAGGGGATTTATAAGTGTAGGAAACACATAAAGCAGTTCTAGAAAAGGGTATCCAACTTTGATAACTAAGAATGGGGAGTCGATTGATCACAAGGAAAAATGAAACCATGGAATTTACAGGAAAATGGCCAGAAGGATACATCATACTGATATACATATTTATACATACATAAATAAATTGTATGTGTGGATAAACTCAAAATACAAATCTAAGGGACTACTTAGAAGGGGAAAGAGGGTAAATAACTTAGAAAGATTGCGAATAAACATATATACATAAAATACAAATATACATATGAAAACATCCTAAAGAAACTCAGCAAGACAAGCAACAGCAGCTCACACCTGCAAATCCTAGCTACTTAGAGAGGCTGAGGATCACAATTCAAAGCCAGGACAGGCAGAGTACATGAGACTCTTAATCACAAAAAAACTAGAAATGGTGCTGTTGCTCAAGTGGTAGAGTGGTAGCCCTGAGCAAAAGGAGTTTAGGGGCACTGCTCCAGGCCCAGAGTTCAAGGCTCAGGACTTGCCCCCCACACCAAAAAAAATCCTATGATATGCCTCAACAGTTAAATGGATTCAAAACAAAAGGCAAATTAGAATAGGCTTAAATGTTAAAAAGCATCTGCAACATTCAATTCGGTCAATAGAACCTAATTCCCATCACATTCACATTGCATGACTGTGATAAGAAACTTATGTTCCTCAGGCATTTTTTTTAACCTCGCAAGTGCAATAATCATCTAAAATCAATACTAGACACAAAGAATATTCTAGGTTTTAAGAACAAATCTGGACTGGGCATCAGTGGCTCATGCCTGTAACCCTAGTTACTCAGGAGGCTGACATCTGAGGATCTTGGTTCAAAGCCAGCCCAAGCAGGAAAAGTCCGAGACTCCTATCTCCAATAAACCACTCAGAAAACTGGAAGTGGCACTGTGGCTCAAGAAGTAGAGCATTAGCCTTGAGCTGAAAGAGCTGAGGGACAGCGCCCAGGCCCAGAGTTCAAGCCCCACAACCAAAAAAAAAAGTAAAAAAGAAAAAAAATACGATTTAAAGTCACTTAGTTAATATATTGGAGTCAGGTCCCTAAATTCAATGCCTCAAAGTTGGCAGTTAATAAAGATGGATAATTCTTTCACTGTCCCCATCCTCAACAATAGTTGAGGTTGGCTAAAGAATGAAAATGCCAAGAAAAGTAAAACAGAAAAATTCAAACTATTTTGGAAGCAAAATTTTATCAAGTTTAGGATAATTCATTTTTAAATAATGTAAATGTTTTATTTATTTATGCAGGTAGTTTAGAGATAAGGCAACCCAAATTTAGAAAGTAGGAACCACTATTAACTCTAGATGCCTCCCATCCCGATCTGATCTTAGCATTATGCTTCCAAGTCAGACAACTCAGATTTTCCTTTACAAAGGCAAACATCATTCAACACATCTTCAGCAAGAAGGCATGTACCTCATTGAAAAGAGTCAAAACTGAATGCAAGAAATCGTCCAATAAGTGGCGCTGTAGTTCAAGTAGTGGAGTGCTCGCCTTGAGCGGAAGAGCTCAGGGACAATGTTCAAAGCCCAGAGTTCAAGCTTCCCGACTGGCAAAAAAAAAAAAAAAAAAGAAAGAAAAGAAAAAAGAAATCACAGCCTTAGCACTGAGTTAGAAAGGGTAGTGGTTAGGCATTAAACCATATTTTCCTTTTCCTTTTCTGTCAGTCATGTACAATCTTGTTCAAGTCACTTAACTCTAGGTTGCAAGCTTCCAATTCAGCAAAAAGAGGATTCCAATTTTTGCCTGCCCTATGAAGTGTTGCAAATCTCAATGTTTTCAAAACCATAAGAATGCTATACATGGATTTCTCATAAACGCGAAAAAAACTAACATTTAGGAGTGAATCCTACTTTTCATTAGCTACATCCTCAAAGGCAAAGAACTTCCATTTATAAAACTGAATTGTAGTCTGATCAAACATCTTAATATTATATCCAATAGGTTATACTATTATGGGAATACTGAAACCTTCTCCAAATTTAGTAACAAAGAAAAAAGTATTCAGAGACAGAAAAGTGGGAGATACCCTGATTCAAAGGCAATTAAGGCAGAAAAGACTGTAAGACTCTTATCTCCAACTAACCAACAAAACAGTTGAAGTGGAGATGGAAGTGGTACAACACCAACCTTGAACTAAAAAAGCCAAGCAATAACACCAGACACTGAGTTCAAGACCCCTTACACACACACACACACACACACGACTCTTAGCTTCAATTAACCACCAAAAAAAACTAGAAGTGGAGCAGTAGTAGAATGCTAGTCGTGGGCAGCTCAGGGATAGCACCCAGGTTCCGAGTTCAAACTCCAGGACCGGCACTAAGGGGTGGGGGTGGGGGTGGGAGGAACTGATATGGTAGAGAAAGCAAATGGTCAAATTTTAAAATAAAAACAGGACGAATCAGTGACAAATGTGTGACTCACTTTCTCAGAAACACGAACTGGATTAGAAGCTAGATATAAAGGCTAGATAAGACGTAAATACGTGGTTGTAAAGTGCGCATCCTAGCATTTTTCTACCAAAGAATAGTTTTGTGTTTGACCATCCGTTAAGGTTTATGTAATCTTTTGAAATCAAAGAAATTTACTCTTCATCAAATTAAGTTTGGGCCCAGGGTGTAATGTGCAGCTCGGTAGCAGAGCGCTGGCCGGAGCATGCACGAGGCCCTTCCTTCCCTGGGTTCAACCCCCAGCACCTCCTTCCCTGGCCCCGTCCCCCAATAACTAAATAAAATAAAAATGCGCCAGAAGCTGAGCCTTTCCGCTCTACACCCACAACCTCCGAAAATCGGTTTGGGGGAAAAAACGAAAACCTAACAACCTAACAGAAATAGCTTCACCGAGCTCCTAGACGCGAGTTCCCGAGGACGTCCACGAAACTGTCAAAAAACCTCCTCCTCCCCGGCTACCTGGCTGCTCTCGCCGCCAGCTCCCATTTGTAAGCGGGAGTCTACAGGAGCGGGCGGCTGCAGCAAGGAGCTACCCCGAGACGTGGGACGCGAGATCCGTTTAAGGAACCCCGCATCCCCCGTCCTCCCCCCCCCCCGCAGGGCCCGTTTGTTCCGCCCGGTCCCCGGCGGGGGAGGTGGAGGGAGGGGGCGGCAGGGCGGGGAAAGGCGGAGCGCGGCCAGTCAGCCCCGAGAGGGCGGCCTCCCGGCTCCAGGCCGGATCCCGGGGAGCCTCGGGGGCACGGGCGAGATGGCTTCGGGATGCGGCAATGTCTCCGCAGGCTGCAAGCGGCGGCGGCTAACGGGAGGCCGGCGCCGGCCGAGCCCGAGTCG